CCCTTATGAAAGCTGGTAGGTCACATTTTGGCTTTTTGAGGGTTGTCATAAGGCAAATAATGCCAAGGTCATGTGTTTGTGTTAACATGTACATTTGATCAGCCAATTGATCTATAGATCTGTCTGCTTTGTATTGATTTGTTTGCAGAAGTTTGTTGAACAGTTCTGCTTGTAATATTTTAGAGAACTATGTGTACTCAAATGTTCCTAAGAGCAACTGTCATTTGAAAGTGCAGAGGGTCTTCTGGGTCTTTAGAGTTACTAAACTCACATTCTGCATTTCTGGAAGGAAGCACTTGCACATACTCACAGGCTACAGAAGGAGATATTTCCTGAGCTGGCCAGGGACATGTGGGAGTGAGGTTGAGGCAGACACTAACTCCCTACTGCAAGAATTTAATGCATGTAACTATTTTAAGGAAACATCACATGCTCAGATTCACTATGAAGATCAATTTGCAGTAACTTTCTCTTGTTTCTTTGGCCTGACTTCCAACTTATGTTAAGCAGAACAGTTGCAATATTACATTACCTCTGTCATTAAACAGAACTCAGCTCAGGGATGAGATCCCAAGGAACACTTTAAAGTAGTCATTTTGGAATGTGCCATAAAAGGGAAACAAAGAACAAACAGGAATTGTGCTGTGATGAAACAACGAGAAAACTGCTTTCTGCTTGTGTCTCTTCCCTGCTTTCCTGGCAAATTCTGTATGTTGCCCCAGGTTCTTTGTGTCTGCCTGTCAGAGCCCTGAATATGGACTTTTGCCCCCTGAACAACAACTCCATCACACGGTTTCCACAGGATACTGACAGAGCTGTTGCTTAGTGGTTTCCCAGTCCTACTTCTCCAGCCCAGGTTCCCATCCCTCTCCCCCACATACACACATGTACACACACTTCATGGAGGTTCCTGCATGGATTTGAAACAGATTGGATTTCAGAGCCCATAAGCTTTGCAGATCTGGAATCATACCTAAATTACAGACCTGTGAGGTCCCACTTTACGTAAGATTCAAGTCCAACTTCATTGGCAGCTTAAGCTGCCACTGGCTGGCACTGCTGCTGAAGAAGTATCCAGACACTTTGCCTGTCCTTGATCGACCCCATCCATTGTGCCAGTAGAAGTTTCTGGCACTGGTTCACTGTAAGAAGCCAGGCTTCTGACTACACTCTCCTGCTGCTTCTTCCAAAACCAACTTTTTATTTGTATTCATTTTTTCCCCCCACACAATGCTATGAAGAATTGTACAATGAGCTGACATTATGCAGAAAAGCTACAAACCTGGTCTAAACTCTCAGTGCTTCATTTTATCTCAGGTCTGTGCTTAGCTTCAGATGCCAGGGACAGTTCACTGATGTTCATGTATCTGTTAAAGGTAGGGGCAAAAATTCTTAAACCAAAGTGAAGAAATACTCAACAGCAGCAACTATGTTTCAACTCCACAGAAACTTAAAATATGAGAAAGGAAAAAAAAAAGCACAAAATAAAATCTCTTCTAGCCACATTTTTGCTTCTGATGTCAAGAAGGAATAAGGTAGAAAGGATTCTTTTTGTCACTGGAAAGCCAGCGAGTTGAAAAAACACACTTTGGATGACAAACTTTTGGAGGGGTTGCGTTCTGCAGCACGGGAGGTGTGTGTGTGACCTGGACACAAACCACCCCTGGTTTGTGTGTCACTGCTGGCAAGGATGGGCTGAGGAACAGAAATGAAAGAGGGGATGGGGTTGTTATCCGTGCTCCCACAGTCCTGTGGGCACCCCTGGAAGGATATTTTTTTGTACATTTTGCCTCTAGAGGAGCCAGGCTTCAGGCCCACAGAGCCCGAGTCACCGCTGGCACAGCACCCAGGGCTGGCAGGGGGAGGGAGCTGGGGAAGGGCCACACCAGCCCTCTGGAGAAGCCCGAGACACAACTGTCCTCCAGCAGCAACCCTCCCCAGCCTGCCAGAGCTGAGCCCGGTGTCTGGGTGGGTTAGTGAGGATCACGTTCTTCCCTAGCAGTTAAATAAATACAGACAGTACTATTTTGGAAGTGGGACAGAGTAAGAACAGAGCAGCTGGATTTCAAAACTGGTTGTGAGCAACTATCCACAGAGATTTCAACCTTTTTTGGATTTACAGGCCCACCAAAATCTTATAAAGGTCTAACAAGTCTAATCCTTTACATAACAGGTTTACAGCCAAATACTTCAATTATTACAAGTTCACTGGTGCTACATGAAATGTAAGAAAATTCACGTGATTTTATATTGTAGCTCCTGATTAATCCACTTGAAATAGTAAATCTGCCCTTAATTCCTAGCTGCCTCATTTGCAGACCATGTAACTAGAGACTTAATCATCACCTACTCTTGTAAATCGTCCTTCTTAGCCTAAATGTATGTGATAAACTGAGAAAATGATTTGAGCTAATTAAGAGAAAACAGTGTAAGGTCAATATGACCTGGAGAGAAAAGAAAAACAAGTCATAAAACTTAATTGGGCCCCTATAAAGAGATAAAACAAGTTACCTCCCTTTTACCTTGTGTAGGATTTATAGTGAGAGAATTTTGTTTAGTTAGCTAGATAATAGCATCTTTCTTAAAATTTATAACTTTGTATAGATAACAAGCAAACATCTGCTGAAAGTCTGATTTAACAATATATTATGGATGCTTATAGATAACATTCTTGTTAAGAAATATCTGTGGAATGTCTGACCTAACAATGTGTAATGTTTATACTCATATACCTAACAATGTGTAGTGTTTATACTCATGTACCTAACAATGTGTAGTGTTTATACTTATGTATAATGAATATTCATGTAGTAGCTGGAAATAAATGTAGAACAAATGTCTTCTTTGGGTGTGACAGGCATTGGGAGTTGTTGAACCCCTTCCCTGATCACCCAGCCCTGAATTTGCTTTTATCATATAATAAAATTCTGATTGGAAATTGCCCGACTGGGTTTCTATTTCTCACATGTATGATTGTGAGATATTTTGAGATCTTTCAAAGGCAAGTATTATTCAAAACTACAATGGCTATAATTTTGCTTTGCTCTTTATCTCTTAAAGGAACATACTAAACCAGCTGCCCTTTTCAGTAATCTGTAGAAATAGAGCTGAATAAATTGTGTAAAAATAACCTGCTTTTACACAGGGATGCACTTGCCTCATCTAGGATTGACTGTCTCTCTGCCCACTTAGAGGTGTCCTTAAAATTCTTAATTGTTTTTTAACAGGATAAATCTCATAATCAGAGTTTAAACGTAACCTTTTCTCATGATGGTGGTGTTACAAAAAATAGCACACAGAAAAAAAATTCTGTGTGACCATACTATATATCTCTTTCTGGTGTGTCAGAAACGTCTTGCATCCCTCTAAGTGTTAAGTGTTAATTTGAGACCCTCTTCCTGTCAAAGTCAGCAAATGCACATCTCTTTTCTAGCAATAGGTATCAGGCAAGGTTTAATCTTGAGCCTACAGGAGAAAACAAAACAGGCAAAAAAAAACTCAAAGTGCCTTAGATATCCATCATCTTGGACCTCTCAACACTTGACTCTTCAGTTATTCTGAAAGACATCAATCTCTCTAAGAAGCAGTTCCTGATCCACAGAACAAGACAGAACAACGGGACAGAACACACTCCCATGGCAAACACAGACATCAGCAAATAAGAGCAGCTCTGATGGAAGTTGCAAAACACACAGATGAGTTTAGTAATAAGGACTGAAGGAGGAAGAGGGAGGCCAGGATTGGGATTTTTGTTTGTGTTTCTGGATTGGCTGCTTGTTTTCAGCCTGCACTGGAGAATGTGGGTTTTCACATGTTTCTGTTTTACCTCAAGTTAATAGGAATATGCTACAGGACAGCTTATCTGAAGAACACCATGCCCTGAGGTGGTAAAGTGAAAGCTGCTCCAACTAGTTTCAGTCATCCAAATTGATGGTGTTCTTGTTTAATGGTGAGTGGTTTTGCTAATGGCAAGGACACTGGGATAAAAAAGGAGGACTTTTCTGAAGAGGTGGTTGTTGTGGGCTTACATAGTTGGAACTGTTATTTTTGTCCAGAAATTTTCTTGCTTTTCAATGCATTGACTAAATGGCTTTCATTGCATTTAAAGTTCTAGTTGCATTTAATTGGGTGGGAAAGGGTTCTTCCCATAGCTGGAGAGACATTGATGACAATGTATCCAAGCTGGTTTTCTAGTGTGACACAACCCAGACACATGTTCAAGTTCAGAGTGAGTAAACACTAAACTTAGTTCAAGATTCCCAGTCAGAAGGCTGCCAGTCCACCAGGTACTAAATTAAACAAAACAAAACAAAACAAACCCCAAACCACCCAAGCTATTTTATGGAAATAGATTTTGCAGACTTACCTTTAAACAACTTACATGTAATACATATTAAGTACAAAATATGGAATGTGTGATGAGTTATATTCAAACAGTAGTTCGTCAATCACACTGTAATTGTAAAGCAGGCTTTCGTTGAGGGAGGCTGTATTTGAAAGGCGAATTAAAAGAAAGTAGCGAGCTCTTTGCTTCAGCTTGTGTTAAAACGACGCTCTGTGGTTACAGTCGGGTCTGTGGCCGCACTGTTGAGTTTTAATGACGCTGGTGACCGTAACCCTGAGCCCGCACCGAGCAGGAGCGGGACGAGCTCCAGCTGAGGGGCCGCGGAGGGAGCTCTTTCGGCGGGGACCCCCGGCTAGGCGCTGTGCGGGGGCGGGACGGGGACAGGACGGGACGGGACAGGGACAGGACGGGACAGGACGGGACGGGGACGGGGACAGGGACAGGGCCAGGGCCAGGGCCGGGACGGGGGGGGCACTGAGGGGACTCCCCGCGCCCACAAGCCCAATTATGGCCGCGCGCGGGGCTCGCGCGCCGCCGGGCCAATCACGGGCAGCGCCGCGGCCGCGCGCGCCCGTCCCGTGACTGCGCGCCCCCGCCGGCAGGACGGGCCGGCCCCGCGCCGCGACAGGCGGCGACAGGCGGGGACAGGCGGCGACAGGCGGGGACAGGCGGGGACAGGCGGCGACAGGCGGGCCGGGATGTCGCGGAGCGGCGCGGCGCTCGCCAGGGCGCTGGCCGGAGGGGCCGGCGGCAGGTACGCGGGGCGCGGTGAGCGCGGGGGTGACAGAGAGGGGCCGGATCCCCGGTGGGGAACTCGCCCGTTCGTTGCCCGAGGCGGCTGCACGGCTGCGAGAGCAAAGAAACTGAACGCTGAGTGAAACGCCCGGATGGTTTTTTGCTTCACATAAGGCAACATGTTCCTTCTCCCCTGAGCACGTGGAAGGCTGGCTGCAACAACTCGAGAAAAGGAATACGCTTTGGAGAAGAGTTAATCTTGTAACTGGAACTAAAAAGAGCAAGCAGATGAGAGAGAGCGCGATTTGACATGTTAGGAGAAGAAAAATGGTTATAGCAGTGCTGCTGTGTTTCTTTGTCAAAGTCTGTCATACTCATGAAAACTGTCAAAAAGTGGAATAGATGTTGGTTCATGATGTCAAATTTCAAGCAATCATTTGGCATCATTGTTACTGTGCAATGGTATAATGTAACCTTGGGGCACACTTCTTACTGTGTATCCTTTGTGGTAGAATCTTAAGGATGCGTTTGCAGTATTAAATTAGTTCAGTCCTGGTAAACAAAAGCGCTGTTTTAAAAAGTCATTTATTTGAGTCTCGAGGGCAAAATCCAATTGCTGGGAAGGGTGTTTCGTATAAGGAAACACATTAAGTAACTAGCTGGACACTAAGTTTGACGATGTTTCTGATGTGAGCTGCGAAAGCCTTGGCAGTTGGTTTTAAGCAAGTGCGGGGTCAAACCCGGAGCTGTGTTATCTGTAGCCTTGAATCTGGAGTTGCTTTGGCTTTGCAGTTGTCACTGGTGTGCACGTTGTACCTGCTGCCAGCTCAGCAGAACCCTGGCTGTGCTGAGCAGCAGACTGCAAGGGGCCAGGGGTCAATAGTCTCTTCTGCTTATTCAGACTGAGATGCTAATGAGGATACTTGCTGGTACACTCATTTTTTGGGATACGAACAGCTGTCAGCAAAAAATTTGCATGGGATCAACTCATGTCTCATAGACCATAAAATGGCCATCAGATATCACTAACCTGATGGAAGTATCAGTTGGGGTACAGTAAACACAATTGCCCTGGCAAGCTCTCAGCACTAATGTCAGTCTTTACAGTGAGGGGTTGGAGATCCCTTTTTTCAAAAATACATTAACCTTTAGGCTTAGAAAACTGTGTAGCTATAAAAAAAACAAAACAAAACAAAACACTGAATATAGATTATTTACGTGTGCATGTCATACACCAGAAATGCTTCTCTTTCAGGTCATGGAGGTTGGGTGATACTGTCATCAGTGCCCAAATGCTCAGGGAGAAAGCAGCGAGTGGCAGGAGTGGAAGAAGGCAGTGAGAGCAGTGTGAGGGGGGATGGTTTTGTTACTGGCAGAGGGCAAACACCGAGGTGGCAGGTGTGTCTGAATTCTAGCATGGACTTGGCTTTTCTTCTGTGGCCCGGGTCAGGTTCACAAAAACAGCCCATGGAAACCTACGCTTCTGGGATTTCTTGCAGAGATCTGCTTTCCTGAACTGGGACCAAGCCCAGCACATTCTCACAGCGTCTGTTATTCTTCAGATAAAATCGGGAGAGGGATGGAGTCTCACCACGCTTGTTAGAATTGTAACCTCTTAACCCTGTCTGCCTCGAATGGCAAAATAATGGTGAAAAGGACATTGTCTTACAGCAGCCAAGGGATTGTTTGTAGGGGTTGTTTTTCAGCCTTGCAGCCGAAACAAGTTTAGATAAAACTGTATGAAACTGGTACAGCCCTACAATAAAAACAGACCAAGAGACGAAACCTGGTGACCAGTTTGGACTGTGTGCTGTACATAGCCCCAGATAAAGTGATTTAAATCTGCTGTGCAGAACATTTGAACACTTTCTGTGACTTGGGCTGAGGCAGCTACAATGTTACTGGCACCCTTCAACTTCCTGTCAAAGCAATTGTCAAAGCTTTTCCTTAAGTATTGTCCAGTCTGTGTGGAAACAAAACAGACTGTGACCACATCCCTTGAGATACAGTTGCAAACATTTGCAGAGTTGTTGTCTAAAGGCTTTTAAAGTGGACCTATCCTTTCTTAATTTTGACGCAGTACTTCTGTCCCATCTTAAATAATTTCTTTTCAATTGCAGTGGTTACAATCTGTGTTTGTCACTCATCTTGCTTCATATCACAGTTGCATAGTTGGTTTTAAAAAAGTCTATACAGATTGTTTCTAACCATCTGCTAATGATGATTATTTTCCTCTAACTCAATACCAATTTATTATTTGCCTGTCTCCCAACACAGTGACCACATAAGCTGATGTGCTCAGTCATGGGTTACTACTGTACTTCTTTAGAATTTTATGTTGATTTTTTTAAAGAACATGTTCAGTTTAATTGTTCAAAATTGGTAACTAATTTGCTAGACCACTTTGGTGGTTGGGAAAAAAAACATATCTAATGCACCTATCTGTTCACTGTGTTTAAAAATCCACCAAACCAACCAAACAGACCCCTAAAGAAGCCTAATGCTAAGTAGGGAAGTTTGGTTCCATTTCTGATTATGTGAATCCTGATGTAGAGTCCTGACTGTTTAATTAAAGAACAGTAAAAGACCTGGGTTACTCTTTAGCTTATGTTTGTAGAGTCATTGAGGACAAAGAGTAGCATTTTTAATTTCCTGATGCCCAAAATCAGAACTTTTGAGGCAGCATTTTGCATTTTGATCTACTTGATCTCAGCAAAATCAGTAATTTAGCAGAACAGAACTGTTAATCACAATGAATATTTTTTAGATTTTAGTGTAGATGTTCACAAACAGAGAACACTGAGGTACAATCTTAAGGTTATTAGTCCTTTTACAGGTAATTAAGCTTTATTTATGAAAACACTGTGTCCAAGGTTTTGATTATATTTTCTGAAGGAAATTTGGAAAGCTGGGTAACAATGCACCTTCTGAATGGACTTTCAAAATTAAACTGGCCTTTAAAGAGAAGGATGGCACCAGAGTTCAACTTTGTATCTCCAAGTGAAATCTTCTCTACTTTGGGTATTCCAAAAGGGATAAGTATTGCAAACCTTGATTTTGCCATTAGGAAAACCTGTTCTGCAAATTAAGTGCATATGAGACTTGTCCATGAACTCAGGCTGCCATGTGTTCAAGTGTTTAATGAGGGCCTTTGTGTTTCACTCTGCCAGTTACTTTTGTCATGACCGAGGCTGTTTTTAGTTTCTCTTAAGGAAAAGAAATGTTTGACAGTTCGTGTACTGTTATGAGCCTTTGCTTTTCCATCTGACAGACATTTTCTGGAATGTTATACAACAGGTTGTTTGTCCCACTTGAATGTGCTGTTACTTATTTTGCTGATATGAAACACATCTAAAAGCATTTTCACTGTTTCAGGCACTTGGCTTCTTGTGGTGTTCTGATGACCAGAACTTCTCCTTTGCAAGTACCTGTAACGAGCCAGACTTTTTCAAGGAATTTCTTCAACATTGCTGCACCACTAGTAAATAAAAGAAAAGAATATTCTGAAAGAAGAATTATAGGGTTTGTATAAAACTGTGGAAAGAGACTTTAAATGCTTATTGCTTTTATATTTGCTGTAATTAATCTGAAACACTAGAAGTTCAAAAGGAGCTAAAACCCCCCATCCCTACAGACACATGCCCCTATGAGTCTGCCCAATTGGAATGTAAAAAGGAGTTCTGATTTTCAGAATTTGTAAAGGTAGGATTTACCAGTCTGAAACTGAGTATAAAAAAAGTAGAAACCCAAAACCCTTGGCCCACAGAAAGAAAGAGCAGAAATAACTGTTCTGTTCCATGACAAAACAAAACCAACCTTGAAAGGGAGTAATACACTTATAATTTCATCTGGTAAAATATGAATAAACCAAGAGGTGTGAAAACTCTGTTTCATTCTGTCCCAAATCCATGCTAATGTTTGCTCGTACGTCATATTGTAGTTCTCAAGATTTTCTTCTTCCTTTAAAAGAAGAAAATTGTGTGATGAAGAAACTAAGACACATAGAAAAAGATTTTGAAATCCAGTTTGCCTTAGTGCTAGTGGGAAAATTCCAGTTCGTGTAACGATGCTGGGATCTGCCCCCAGTCTCTGGTCCACAATAGCATGAATTACTTTTTTATTAGCATAATTTTTTGATTGCACTTAACATTCCTTTATGTGATAGTTCTTGAACTGCAACATATCTGCACAGTCACTATAAAAAGGCCTTTGTCCAAGAGTACTCACTGCTGAGTACTGTTGAACATATGCTTCATTTTAAAGAACTGAAGCCCATGTTTAATCCCATCTGTTCCTGAGTCAGAAATAAAAGTTAAAAACCATTGCTAATAATACTTTGCCACGTTACAGTAGAATCAACTAAAATGTTGCTATTATGTGTTTCATCTGATTTCAATATCCTGCCTGAGCAGGGGGGTTGGACGAGTTCCGGAGGTCCCTTCCAACCTCAGCCATTCTGTGATGCTGGAAGGTTTTTCCATTGTATGTATTTTTTAATTAAGCTTTTTAATTTGGGCTGATGTGAGGAACGTAGTGTTCCTCAGTTGAAACCATATTAAATATAGTACTTGAGTTTTGATACACCTTGTCTTAGTAGCCCTGCAGTGTGGATTTTTTTAACATGGAATGTCTAAGATCGACCTCAATGAAGACACAGCTGTGCTGATAAAAAATACATTTCATTTGAAATGTATGCACATTTACATGACACTTAAGAGAGAGTCATATTCACTAACTTCTTTAGAATTTTATGTTGATTTTTTTAAAGAACATGTTCAGTTTAATTGTTCAAAATTGGTAACTAATTTGCTAGACCACTTTGGTGGTTGGGAAAAAAACATATCTAATGCACCTATCTGTTTACTGTGTTTAAAAACCCACCAAACCAACCAAACAGATCCCCAAAGAAGCCTAATGCTAAGTAGGGAAGTTTGGCTCCATTTCTGATTATGTGAATCCTGATGTAGAGTCCTGACTGTTTAATTAGAGAAAGAACAGTAAAAGACCTGGGTTACTCTTTAGCTTATGTTCACTAACTTTACCGCTGGATGGTGTGTTGTATTTTGCTTCTTTATGTAAAGACTATCACCAGTTTACTACTTTCTTTTCCTCTTAATTAGCAAAGCTGCATTTTTAATCTCCAGAACCAGTGGTAGTTTTCAGGTGACTGTATGTTCACCTTCCAACTGCCCACACCATTTATACCATCTCTGACACTTCAATACTGAATTAAAGTTAAAATACCTTGTAACTGTAACGTTCCTATTTCTGCTTCCAGGTATTCTATGCAAGAAATGTATGAAGTTGTTGCTGTTGTGGAGAATTACAAACTGTTTGTTCCTTGGTGTAAAAAGTCAGACATACTCTCGAAGCGCTCTGGGTACTGCAAAGCACAGCTGGAAATAGGATTCCCTCCTGTAGTAGAGAACTACACATCAGTTGTTACCCTAGTAAGACCACATTTAGTTAAGGTAACTGTTTTGTTTTTTTTTCCTCTCCTAACTTTCCTTAACATTTGTTCTTGAAATTTGAATATTCCAGGAACATCCCGTTTCGAAACAAAATTGATGCTGGAAGTTCTTTCTGGGGCTCAAAACTTCTGTTGCTTTTCTTTAAGGATTTTAGATAAACTGGGGGAGAATTTCAATGTGCTTTTAAAACATATCCCACCACACGGGGGAGAAAGAGGAATCACTTTTTAACTTGCCTTTGCTGGAGAAGATGGCAGCCATTAATGAAGACATAACACTTCTGATTTGTATTTTGTTATAATTTTGTCCAAGACTCTCTAAATACAAAGTTAGTACTTAAAGTTATCTTTGACATAAAAGTTATCTTTGACAACACTAGCTTCCGATGCCTTAGCAAAGTTGCTATTTGTCATTACTTTTCTTCTCACAATTTTAACTAATTAACATGAAAAGACTTAAATGTAAGTGTAGGATCCACTGAAGAGCTTGTTATTCAATATATTGATGAGAAAATGGAAGAGTGGATTTAAAGTCAATTTTTTTACAATTAATTTGTTCAGAAGAGGAACAGTTGTATTTCTCCTTTCAGCTTTTCAGTAATTAAGAGAAAAGTAGAAAAGTGTCAAGGCAGAAATTTTAAATGATGTCTGGATCTTCTAAGTATTTGCTTGCCTTATATGTTCAAACCTGTTTTAGTAAAGAATGGCTCAGAACAGATTCCTTGCAGCAAAACTGCCTCTCCCTTCATGTGGCAGATCCTGAATGGTTTGGAGTAATTAGTGGAAATTACAACAATTGGTTGCTGTTCAAGATAATTGTTTGAATACTCTTATTTCTAGGCTTCCTAATAAGAGACACTTAACTGAAAATGAGTTTCTGAAGTACAGGAAAGATGTAAATTGGAAAAGGAATATGCAAAGTGCTTTTATTTAATGCACTCACTGATTCTGGAAAGAAAAAAAGATTTTTTTCCCTTTATTAAGAAAGTTGAGTAGCTACAAAGGGGAAATGTGTGTTTCACATGCTGAGAGCTTTCCTCTTCTACTCTTCCCTGACAAGACAGGCTTTTTTCTTTCACACAGCTATCAGACTGGCTTGCCAACTCTTTTTCCCCTCTTAATTCACTCAAAAGAGGTGTTCCCGTCTCAGGAAAAAAAACCATAAAACTAGAGAGGTAAACCATTTCTTCAGATTTTCTCCTCCTGGACTCATTGGCCTTTTCTCTGCTGCAATTACCGTTCCTAGAGATTTACATTATGTTCATATGACTGTAGGACATTTCTAGAGAAGCCACTGTGTGCTTGGATTATTTCACTCTCCTCTGAGGTAACTCTGGGCAAAGGCACCTTGCATGTGGTGACAAAATGGGGATTTTTTTGTTGTTGTTGCTTAAGGCAGCAGTGCTCGAACAATTGAATAATCACACTGGTAACAGCAGTCTTTGCTGAGGGGGAAGGCATGGAGTGAGTTTGCTACTCAGAAGACTGGGAGCAGGGGGGACACAGTGGCAGTTTTCCCATTCTTCCTGCCGTTTTGGCAGCAGTAGGGAAGCAAACCCAGCTCATTGTGTCTCATCTTCCCTCTACTCCCTTCTTTCTGTTGTAGAAGTGGCAAGGCCCTGCATCATCTCATTCCTGGAAAGAAAAACATAGGTATTTTTGTGCTGCTGATAAGTCTTTGAGATGAGTCACCTTACCACAGCTTTCCAACCCAAGCAACACCTATTCCTCGTGGGTAGTCTTACTGGAGCAGAGCTGCTTGTGGCAACAATAAGAACTTGTAACAAAAGAAAAAAAGATTTAAAAAAAAAAAAAGCTACAGAAATTTTCTCTCCAAATTCTAACCCAGTTGAGGTTATGTATTTGGATGATTTTGAAGAATAGGTCTTTCAATCTTTTTCTTTTATAAATATAGCCACACAGAATTAGCTCTATGTGCCAAAAGCAAAATGAGTGAAAATAAAGACCCTATTGCCATGAAAATTATGACACCAACTAATGCCAATATTTTACTGTTTTAAAGGACTGTTTGCAAGCCCTCCTAAAGCACTAGCCAAATAGGGCTTGCCTGGAACCACAAGGGAGAGTATAAGCTGATCATGAGCTCGAGTGTATGGTCTACTGACTTTGTGGCAGCTCTTGGTCCACAACAGGATCTTGTGACAGAGGATCTTCGGAGTTTGTCTTCAAACACATTTGTCTTGGGGCTAACCATTCCTGTGGCCAAAGCTACCAGTCCATATATCAGTATCTAAAACATTCTATACATGTGATACAGTATATCTACCTAAATCCCCAGTAAATATCCATATCCTTTGCTTAAAGCAGTGTTGTTCAAAATCCTGGTACATAACTAGCATGATGTTCCACGTATCATGCCACAGATCTGTTTCATGATGCTCAACACACAAATTTTCCCCCTCCCTTAAAAGGGATTCAGTTATTTTGCCATAGATGGCACATATGGGACCTCATGCTGGCTGTGCTGCGAGAATAGTTTCAACTTTGCCGTGACCATCACTGCCTAAGAAATGCAAATGCAAACTTCAGTAATACCAGCTTGTCACGTTTGTAAAAGCCTAATTGCAGCTTGACTTCTCAAATTTTCTTTTAGGCATCGTGCACAGATGGAAAACTATTTAATCACTTGGAAACAGTGTGGCGTTTGAGCCCAGGTATCCCTGGATATCCAAGGACATGTACATTGGATTTTTCAGTAAGTATTGTAATTAAGGAGCACTGCCTTAATTAGAAACACTGTCTTCAACTGTGTGGGTTTTTTTTTAATGCCTGGTACTTTTTGTTAAACACAAATACACAGAAAACAAGTTAGTTTTAGTCAATCCTATCCCAAAAGTATTTTGCAAACTTGACCACACAGAAACCACTACAGTGTCTTTTAGAGACAGGAATTTTCTGTGAGGTGTCCAGGTATCAGAAAACAGTCTTGAGATGGGCACCTCTCACCATAAAGTTCTAAACATGCTGAAGTTTTCAGACAGTCAAATACAGAGGGAGAAATGCTAAACATAGTTTGCTGTTTCCTTTAATTTTCCTACAGCCTAAGTTGAGAGAGCACCTACTTTCTGGTACCATCTGTCCTGTTGGGCCTGCAGTTTGGTCGATTTGATTTCCTGGCTTTCAGTTTTACTCTGTCATGTATTTGAAGTCTTACTTTTTCCTTTTGGTATAATAGATTTTTCCTGTCTAATCTTTCTAATCTGTGATGGGATATCGCTGCAGCCCAAACTATTGCTCTTTAAATCCAGTACCTGACTGAGCCTGATTTTACTCCCAGACAAGTTGTTTTCCACTCCAGTTATTGCTTTTCTACGTCTCTTTAGTCTGTCCATCACATTTTTTTCTTGCATTTCATAGCATAAAGTGTAGGAGCTGCATTGAGCACATAATTAGGCTGGGGATCACAACAGGCTGCAAAAGTGCACAGAGATGGGTTAATCCTGCTGCCATCTACTGGAATACTCTACTTTGAAAATTATCTTCATTAAATAGGAAAAAGCTTTCGGGGTATTTTGAAACTAGCACATTAACCTCTTTGGGTTAAAAACTTTCAGCTTATTGCTGTATTTCACTTCTTATGGTTCAAGAATAAAAATTAATCTAGTGGCACTCAAAAAAATACATTTCTCATAGGATTTGTTCATGATGTTTGTACATTATTTGTTCTTGATATTTGAATTTCTCCAGGGAAATAAGTGCCAGTTCCTTCTACTAACCAGTACATAAGCTAGCTTTTAACCCAAATCCTAAATCCCAAGCCATTAAAATCCAAGTTGAGAAAACTTGAATTAAACAACTATTTAAACCTATAATCTAAATACAGACTCTGTGAGTAAACACACAACCCACCCCCATACCAAAGCCATGTTTTTGACATTTCAGGTCACCTAAAGGGAGTCAAAACTGCACTTGATATGGACATTTTCTGTGTCTTGGGGGAACACTATGGACACATCTTACTGCTCACTCCTTTTTGAGGCAGCAGCAGCCAGTGCAGCCAGCTGAGCTGGGGCTGCCTCCCTAGGGCCTTAACCCTTGCTAGTTCCTGCCCTGCTGGTCCTGCCTCTGGGCACATGCAGACAGGAATGATAAGCATTTCACAACAAACTCCTCAAAACACACCGTGCAATTACAGATATTCAAGAGAAAACTTTGATTTCAAGAACACTTGTTTGCTTTAGAAAATGTTACTTGAGTTTTGGGTTATGCCAGTTCCCAGAAGCTGCTGTATCCTGTTTTGCCAGCCTGATATCCAGCAGGGAACTTCCCTAGTTTGGTTTCAGCTCTGAAATGATTTGGTACATAGACTGAAACACACCACCACTCTTACCATCTGCAAACTTCCTAAGTGTACGTATATAAATGCACCACACCTCAAGGTTTACGAAATTCCTGAGCATGATGCCAGATTCATTATCCCTGCTCTGCAGAACTCTGCATGCCTTGAATGGTAAGTCTCTGACTTACAAAATACACATTAATTTTACTGTTGCTTGAGGTCAAGAAAATGTAAATGAAGCTACACTTGGCTTTTGGGCCAAGTCATTTAGTTACTTCTGTTCTACAGCTTTGTAGTTAATGTGCATTGCTCATAAGGAATTTGGGAGAAGCTGTATTTGCTCCATTTGGCATTGAATCTGCTGATTTCTCAGAGATGACACAAATACTTCAATCTCAATCCATTCCATTGCCTGCCCATGTCAGGTTGGGAGTGGGAGCTGTTCAGGTGGGAGATACAAAACAAACCAAATCTGTAGTTTTAGTTAGTAAACTGCTTGTTTGAACATACCAGAACTACTGCCACCAATAAGGACTAATTTAAAATATTGGTATTTAATAAGTGACTATTTCAAGCTGCTTTTAAGTCTCTTGGGTGTGCTCCAGCTTACCTGTAAGTCTGCTGTCTTGTCATGCAGGATTTTTCTTCAGACAACTTTTAGTCCCCCAAGTGAATCCTGTGCACAAAGTTATTGTTTGTCAGTAGTTTTTCATTATCCCAAATCTGTTTTGTGATACATTATTTATTAAAGACAGCTTAGGTAAATGATTACTTCAGAGAGCTGAATGAAAGGATTCTTCTAATTCAAAAGCCCAGGGAAACAGTCCTGACACCAAGGAACACAGCTTTTCTTCACAGACACACTCACCTTCACCTCAGAACAAACTGTTCTTTCTCCCACAACTTACTTGAAAACTTCATTGGAGATTCTTTAATAGAGTTGTCTATTTGTAACAGCATTTTATCACAACAGCAGATAACAGGAAAAATAATTATTCTCTATTGTCTTAAACAGGTTTCTTTTGAATTTCGTTCACTTCTACACTCAAAACTTGCTACACTGTTTTTTGATGAAGTGGTAAAGCAGATGGTTGCTGCCTTTGAAAGAAGAGCATCCAAACTCCATGGCCCAGAAACCAGCATACCTCGGGAGCTGATGCTCCATGAAGTTCATCAGACGTAAAGGGACAACTGTAACCACCTCAGTTATAACCTTGTTTGTACACTTCATTTGTTCTAAGTGCCATGCTCCACCTTTGGGGCGTCTATTTCTTATCTGAGCTGTGTGTTTAAGATTTTTATACTGTACCAAACATACCTGCTCAGCCAGACCTGTATAGAAAGTTCAAAAGCTGCAATCAAGTGCAACTTAAAGCCTTATCAGTAACAGGCAACCGGCAGCTACTGTAACCCAACATATCTCAGGCTGCCGTTAACGTGCCAAACGGCTCCTGTAATCACGGGCCAAGTTCTGCCTTATCCAAGCTCATGATTTTTCTTCTAGCACTGTAACATATTAACTCAAGTTTAAGTTATTAGTAGTGTGACTGTAATTTAACAGCATCAACTCGGCCAGCTCTGGCCAAGCCAAGGGAAACCGACATTCTGGCTTCACAGAGAATGGAACACTTTGCCAGGCACCGAGTGCTGGGTGCTTTCAATGCAGGTGAATGGCAAAGGTGAGTCGGGAATCTCTGGCTGCTTCTGAACTGACCTGCAAGTGCTATAGAACAGCCTCAACTGTCAGAAACCAAATGCAGGGGATACACATAAGGAGTACTGTAATCTGAGTGCAGCAGTCTCAGCTACAGCCAGGGGTTCCCAGTGGATCTGTCTGGGCTCCAGACACCGATCACTCTGTAGTACATTTGGCAGGCTGAGCTTGCCCCCCCCTCTACTCCTGCACCCTTAAAGTTGCACTTCAGTTAAGTTACTCATCTAATGCAAACAGTTCCCACACTGTAAAACAAGGAAGTGTTACCTCTTTGAGAGCAAGGGACCACAGTACTGTCCTCCCTGGAAGAAGGGAACAAGATGTCCTCTGCTCCCTGCAGCCAAGCACACCCACAGCCAGCTGTCATTAAAAAGCATACAAGAGCACTAAAACCCTTAGTTCTTCAGGGTTTTTCATTACTATACTACCATTTTATTATCAGCCCATTACGATAGCACCAGCTGTCCTGATTAAATCCACATTCAGTACTTCTGTCCCTGGCATAATTATTCTTTCCAGTCTCTGAAGAAACACAGGTGAATAGGTTTGAATAGATTTTAAATCCTCACTGTGTGCTGCCTTGCATTACCCAATTTCCTTACTGAAATTAGGTGAAGCTCTAGGTCGGGTGCTGAAGCTGCTCCTTTCTCCAAAGTGTCTGTAACCCACGTGGTTACTACAGGACAGCACGTTATGTAACATAGGAAGGTATGTTTCAGAATAAAGACAGCCCTCAAACAGTTTCAGATCGTTTACTTTTCCAGAAAGAGGAGTTGGCATGTCACATGTCCCCTCTGTGAAGGACAGTTATTAAGGGCAGGAAGCTGAGGAAAGCGACAGCTGGATTGAGGTCAGTTTTACAGCACTGAGAAATTGTACAGCAATTTCGTTTGTTGAGGCAATCAGAGATGAGCATACAGAAGTTTGGGAACACCATTGTCCTGCAGTTTGGAAAGCAGACGACTTCACACATCACTGGTATTAGCTTTGTCAGGTCAAAGAACCCAGGAAGTGGCAAAGCAACATTTCTAATGGTAAAACAGCATCTAGTGCAAAATAACTAAATTCTGCAACCCATTACCAGAAAGGAAGACAAGACTGGAAGGCTTAAGTGAGGAGGTAACCATATATTACACCTGATCAAAGGAACTGTTTAAACCCTCCCCAAACCCTTTCTTAGGCAAGACTTACCTGTTTGATACCCTCAGGGCACTTCCCTTCCTCCCAACTGTGAAAGGTGCACTGGGCCTGTTCAAGCACATGAAACAACCAGCATAGACAGGGCAAAATAAAGCCAGTGCACGTGCCTTGTTTTCAGAGCATTGTTTAATATTTCAAAGAACTGTAGTGCAGTTCAGCTTAGGTATTTCTTACCAAAATTAAAGTCACTTGCATTTCTGAGAAACGTTCTAGACAAAGGAATGTTTCTCAGTGTGAAATGCCCTGTCATTTTTTCAAGCATTAAGTGTCTACTTCTAGTAAATCTTAGAGGCAGGCTGTCCAGGCTCTCCCATAACTATGGCAGATGAAAAAGGTGATACATTTTTGTAACTTTTGAGCAGTTTATTACATAAAGGTCACATAACTCTATTTGCCTACTTTGTACACAATTGTCTAGTCTCACGCACAGTGGCTTCCAAGTTCTTCCTAGTACTGGCAAGCACCAAGAAATTCTGTAATAGAATATCAAGTGCCTTAATTAAGTTCAAATCAGGACCTTGGTAGATGGATCTTGCACCCAGTTATCAGGAATGTACAAATGTCTTTATTCAAAAAATACAAAATAAATTATCTGTAGGCATGGACAATGACTGTAAACAATTACACGTGTGTTAAATGAAATCCAGTAACTGATGGTTACAGTGATTTTTCAACACCAGCCTCACTTCAGTCACTATCCACCCTCTGACACTGATAGCTCAAGTTTTTAAAGTCAGAACTGTCAGTCTTCAACAGCACAGCTCATGATGCATCCCTACCCCAGGAATTAGAACATGCCACCTCCCATTCCTCCGCCCATGCCACCCATTCCTCCCATTGCCGGTTCCTTCTCTTCTTTGGGAACCTCAGTCACCACTGCTTCTGCTGTTGATAGGAGAGACGCGACACCGGCGGCGTCCATCAGAGCAGTTCTCACAACCTAAAACCAGGGAAGAAATAACTTCAGGCCTGCTGGCTATCACAGGAGGTGGGAGGAGAAGAAGCTGAGAATTAAGACTTTTAGGTTACCTTTGTTGGGTCTATGATTCCTTTTTCTACCATATTTACAAAGTCCCCAAGCATTGCATCATAGCCAACTTCTGACGGGCTCTGCAGGATTTTCTCAACTATCAATGATCCTTCGACACCAGCATTCTTTGCAATAGTCATTGCTGGGATTTTCAGTGTTCTCTTGATTATATCAATCCCTGCAAGAAAAAGGGTGGTCAGAGCTATGTTTTGCATACACTGCTCCCACTGCCAAGGCCTGCCTGCACGAGCTGCTGGAGATCAATACAAAGAACACTCTGAGCAAAAACATGATCTATTTGTATCAGTTCCAGGAGGAAAGGTTCTCTGCTACTTGACATTTGTCAACAAATGAAACCTTTGCAGGATATTCACACACATTTCAGTTTTACTACATTTTGAAGAAGTCAGGAGTACTCATTATGTGTAACACGGCACAAAGCCTTTTTCCATTTGATTTGCCACACAATCTCTTAAGCATTATTAGATTTTTCATCTCTCTGCAATGGCTGGGAACAGTCAGCTCTCAGTCTTAACCATTTGCCACTCTCTGCAGGGGGCACTGCTGCTTTAGTGTTACTGGGTCTTTCACAGTCAAGTCAGGCACTCGGTGAAACCTCCCTCCCCCTGAAAAGCAGAGACCACCATACCAAGGGGGTGTGAGGTTCCTGAGATCAAGTAACTAAAAAGTCACTGGAAGCAACCTGCATTTCATCTGAGAAAGCCTCAGGTCAGGACAAAGGCTACTCGCAACAACTTCCACACACATTCCAGTAAGTTCCTCACCAATTTTCTGATCTTCATTGGCTGGGGTTAAGGCCTCTAACGCTGGAATGCAGCGGAGCAGCGCGCAGCCCCCTCCCGGGACGATGCCCTCCTCCACGGCAGCGCGGGTCGCGTTCAGGGCGTCGGTGACTCTGTCTTTCTTCTCGTTCACCTCAACGTCGCTCGTGCCGCCGACCTACAAGCAAAGCAGCAAGGCACACGTCAAGGTCCACACGAGGAGCCCGGGTGGGAGAGCACTGCTGGCTAAACACTGCTGCCCCCAAACTAAACAACCAAGAGCACTGACAAGTGCCAAAAAGCCAATCCAGCCTCTCCCGTGCTGGCAGCCTTCTCTACCTCAGCAGTCAAGAAACCTAAACACAGTTTTAGTTCATTATTATCTCTTAATACCTTCAATACTGCTACTCCATCAGAGAGTTTGGCCAATCGCTCATTGAGTTTCTCCTTTTCATATTCACTGGTGGTGACCTCAAGCTGCTCGATAATTTCTTGAATGCGCTTTTCAATCTGAGCCTTTTCACCCTTCCCCTTCAGAAGCATTGTGTCATCTTTGGTCACAATGACCTCTCCCACTTTACCGAAGTCGTGAGGCTGAATATCTTCCACATTTAGGCTCAAACCCTCTTCTCCAAACACCTGAAAGAAATTATGTGAAAAGCTGGAATTCGCAGGTTCCCCATCCATCAATTTTTTATCTATAGGCACACGAACACATACAGCTAATGGTGCAAAATAATCACACTACTGCAGTTGAACAACACTCTTCCCTTCTCCTTAAAGGAGTCCAGGCACGCAGGTACCTCACAAACTGACTCTCATGGAATGGAAAACGAGCAGCTTCTCACTCGCACCTGACTCGTGTAGCTCACTGATTCAAAGTGCCTGGGAAGTAAAGTAGTGTTACACAGTCCTCACAGAATATCCTGAGTTGGAAGGGCCCCACAAGGATCACCCAAGTCCAACTCCTGGCCCTGAACAGGACAAACCCACAAATTACACCATTACAGAGCACTGTCCAAACACTTCTTGAACTGTGGTGCTGTGACCACATCTCTGGGAGCCTGTTCCAGTGCCCAACCACCCTCTGGGTGAAGAACCTCTTCCAAATATCCAACCCAAACCTCCCCTGACACAGTTTCATGGCGTTTCCTCAGGTCCTGTCACCGGTCACCTCAGTGTATTTTGGGAAGTTTAAAATATTGGCACTTCACAGACTTTAAAACAGTTTGCTGGCTTGTTACTTTGTGCTGCAGTTAGCTTAAACATGAAGTTTTATTTCAATAGCCTCCTTTTTGTCCCAGTATCATGCCATGATTTTGATGTATGTGTAACAAAAAGGCACATAAAGGGACGTTAATCAGTGCACCAAGTATATGCAAAGTTTAGAGCTAAGAAAACCATTCAGTCAATTCTACGCATATTCAATTATTATATTTGCCACACTTGAGTTCAGGCAATTGTGAGACAATCAGTTTTATAAGGCAGCAAGAAAGCTTTCCTATATTTCTAAGATACTGTCTTGGAGTTCCTCCTTTCCTTTAACAGTCTAAATCCTGCAAGGAAATCACATGTGACTTCAGTCAGTTACAAGGATGTACTGCTCATGGTTGGCCAGGGCTGCATTACACAGCAATTTTCAGTGTCTACATTTTAAAAAAACAGGAAGATTCTAATATTAGAGTTACTGTTACATTTTTGAAAGACAGAACACAGCCTGCAGCCCATAAAATACAAGCCAAGG